ATATATATATACACACATAGTAGTGGTGGACAAACAGAAGAAGAAGGCTGTAGTGATAGATGTAGCAACATCAGGAAGAAGGAACACGAGACGCTCGAGAAATACCAAGGGCTGAAAGAAGAGCTAGAAAAGATGGAGGGTGACGGCACAAGTGGTCCCCGTGGTAATAGGAACATTGGGGGCTATGACCCCCAAACTGGGAGAGTGGCTCCAACAGATCCCAGCAACAACATCTGAGATCTCTGTCCAGAAGAGTGCAGTCCTAGGAACAGCTAAGATACTGCGCAGGACCCTCAAGCTCCCAGGCCTCTGGTTGAGGACCCGAGCTTGAAGGAAGGAATACAAAACCGCCCCAAAGTGGGGGCGAGTGGGGAATTTGACTGTTTTGATAGATTTGATTGACTGATGTTATTGTATTGATTTTGACTGTTTTGATTTTGCTTTTGTCTTGTTTTAATTTTTAGCTTAAGTATAGTTTCACTCAAATATTGCTCATTTCAAACTGAATCCTTTGCAGACCACAAAGGCCATACAGGACCTGGCCAGCTGGAAAGTGGCTAATTGTGGAGCCATTAGCAGCTAACACGGGATAATTACTTTAGTTAAGCAATCCATTTTGTGGAGAAGTTTTTAGGTTTGAATTATCTCTGCAGCTTCTTGTCATTCTAATTTGTGCAAGTAAATGCAGTTTTAAACAGTAAGAAAATGTGCACAGTGTAAAGCTATATCTGATCATCTGATTCTCAGCCTTGAACATCTGCTAGCAGCAAAAGGCAGTATAAAAATGAGAATGTCAGCCTCAGGTGCAAGATTGGACATGTCTTTTACCACTGGCCAATAATTAAACCAATCTTTATTTTCTACTTTAAAAAGAAGACAAATTAGCGTTTCTTTATGTAGAACAAGCCCCTCCTAAGGTCATATGTGAAGAAGAGGAAATTTCCACCCATGAATGCATTTTTACCACAGATCTCTGTGTAAACCAGCTGCTTTTGCTTTTTCCAGTCATTTTTCATATGCTGTAAAAAATAAAAACAGCACCCTTCAAAATGTCTCACAAAATGAAGCCATGCTTTCTCACTGAGCAGAGTCACATTGCTGTTTGCAGTTGGTTAGATTGATTCCTCCCTGCTAATGGTTTAATTTTGGCATAATTCAATAACTGCAGTCTCCCAAGATACCTTACACATTTATACTGAGTATATAATAATGTCTTGACAGTTAGATGAGTTGGGAATCTCTGGTGGTTTAATTTGGTGATAATTCCTCCTGTTAACACACTTTAACATGGCCAATGAGATCTAATATACAGTGCTGACTTGTTCCTACTGTTTGCATCATGTCCCGCTTTGGAGCAGGCGTATAAAACGGGACAACCTGGGGATTACAGGGGAAATCAAGGTTGTTAATGTATAGTTAGTGATTTACATTAAATCTCTGAACTTCTTAGGAAAAAGTGCTTTACTTTGTGGCACAGTAGGAAGAGGATTATGGCAGGCTGAGCTCAGGTAAGAGTGTGAAAAGGAGGAGGAAGATGCTAAAGCAATGTGAAATAAATATGACTCTATAGATTAAAGTAAATCAAGCTGCAGAGCTTTTAGAAACAATCATTGCATATGATACAATTCTGAATTAGATGTGTACTGTAACCACACTGGGTCTCATCACACCAAAAAGTCACAGTGTCTACATAGTGTTTTGCAAACAGTGCTCAACTCCACTCCTATAATGTAACTTCAAAGCTACAATACATAACTAAAGCTACATGGAAGGAAGGTATCAAGAACCTAAGGTCAACCAAGCAGGAAAAAGAAATAAATGTTTCAAAACCAAAGCAGATCCCTCTGTAGAGCCATATCTGTATTTGGAGTGCTTTTCATATTGGTCTCTCTTTTCATGAGATGCATCCAGATTATCCAATGAAAACTTGCAGCACTCATTTGGATGCCAGTGATAATGCCGAGTGGCTAAATTAACCTGATGCACAAGGAGGAATGTGTAGATTTTCAGATTGTCTGAATCTAAAACGTACGATTTTGCCTGCACAGTAACAGCTCTGGTAAATCAATAATTGCTGCGTATTACTTCATTCCTCATTTTCTGTTTTTGAATCATCATTCAACCTTTGTCAAATTTATTACACTACTCTAACATTGTAATTTTTGTACATGTGGCCTACGCACACACACATTTGCAAATACAGCACAGAGAACTTCACAAGTAGGTGACGTCAATACTGCTGTAAGAGCTCTGACAGCCCCTCCACAGGAGCCATATTTTAACAAGCGCACCCACACTCTGCCAACCTCAGCCTTGCTATTGTCCATACACTAGCAAACTTCCATTCACTGTGCTCTGGGAGGAGTACAGGGCTGGAAAACAATCATTTTCCCATCATGACAAGTTCATTTTGGATGGTTTAACCCAGCACCAAATTTTCTGTTTAGTCTATATCTCATGAGCTGAAATCAAATAACACTGTTGGATTTTTAAATGGTCTTTTTTTGTCAGTGCTATTTTCAATAGCCAAATTAGTATGTCTCTCTCTCATGAGTGAGAAAATGAGTTTCTCTACCTCCCACCATTTCATTATCTGAGCGATCTCCCAGCGCGCAGTCTAATTCCTTTAGCAAGGCCCCGTTTTCTGCAGACTCCTCACCACACTTTGAAAAGCAACAGAGATAGAAACAAAATGGGGACAGGAGAGAAAGAAAGCTGGAGGTACAAAGATTGACAAAAGAAAGGGAGCTAGTGAGGGGAATTTTACAGTAACTCAGAAGCCTGTTAAAGTGTATGCACAGGCGTACGGGTGCACTGCAGAGACGGACCCACAAAGATGTACACATGCCTCCCACGTATAAGCCTTATCTCACTCTTTCAAAACATCAGTCTTAGAAACATACACCTCTAGAGACCAATTTTACCAATGACAATAGAGAGTCTAATTGCAAAGCAAACTCATGCCAAGTAAACACATTTTCTTTTTGAAGAGAATTAAGTGAACCTGTGGGGCAAACAATATGCCACACAGTGCATTAAAAAGCTGTTGGACAGAATGTTACACGGAGTCTTTTGGAGAAAGCTCCTTTAAAGAATGTGAGCACAAGGCAAAAATTACAGAACATAAATTATATATTAGACATGAATGAGTTTAACATCTTTCTTTGATATACACTGTCTGGCCACTTTATTAGGTACACCTCTACAATTCTAAGCACCTCAATGCAACACTTCTGCCTTAACATCTGTGTTTATGAAGCTCAAAATGACTTCAGTTTTAGTTTATTATTGAGGTCATAGTTAAAGGCCATGTTGTACTGGACTATATTATATTCAGAGGTGTTCCTAATATTCTGATCCTCTCATGTATATAGCTGGTAGGACAAAAATATAGAGACTCTCTGAAAATTGTACAGATGTGCCTATTAAAGTGGCCAGTCAGCGTATAAAAATATACATAAGACATGCAGCTGAAATAACAGATCAGTAGACTTGACTACAAAGAAAGTCCGTGTGCATGGAAATACATTATATTTACTAGGCAAGGTCTGAAAAATGTTACTAAGTTGCTGACCAAATCATACCTGTGCCTCAATTTTGACCATTCATAATCTTTCTCTCACAACTCCCCCAACCTAAGGTAAATGCTAAAATTACTAGAATACCCCTTTAAACTATGAAACATCTCAAAAAGGAAGGAAAAATATGTCCAAAATCCTGACAATGACATCTCAAGAATCGATTTTTTCCCTGCACAGCTGTCACTTGCAACAAAATTTCCTGACAATAATCTGCTAAACATACATTTCAAACACCATCCACAGATTTATTTATATTCTGTCTTTCACTCCACAATCTGATGATGTACATGAGGTAGTGAAGCAATGACAGCAGTCCAAACACACACAGATTATACACCGGAGCAATGTGCCTGGACAGGACTTGACACTCTGAAGGAAGCCATACATCAACCTGTTTTTTTTTGTTTTTGTTTGTTTTTTTGTGTTTTTTTGGCTGGGCGTCACCAAGCTCGGCTGGGGAGTCAGCAATGCAGTGGTTGCCATTTATCAAATGACAGGGCTGCTGTGGCTCCGGATCAATGGGTGCCCCTGCCATAAACAAACAAACAAAACCGGAGGCCTGATGAATACAACCAGGCTTCCCAGTGGGAACAGAAAAGGAGAGTGTGGTATATGATGAAGGAGGAAAAAAGTGTGCTGTAAACAGAAAACAAAACATTGACAAAAGACAACTAAATAAAACATGAAACACACGGAGCATCTCTCTTCCTCCATGTGCACACAGAGGCTGACTTAGAGATACCTCAGTCAAAGCTCTGATCACATATATCTCCTGGTGTGTATCCAACTGTGTGCACACATCAGCTTATCCCGATTTTATAAACAAAATGAAAACAATACAGGTACTGTAAATAGAGTACTGTACATATGGCATCCATTGATCACAGGGTAATTGGTTTCCATTTTGTATTCAGGGTTTCCACCTCCATATCAACTTAATTATCTACCATACAGATTGGACCAGGAGGCAGAAAAAACCTTGCTAATGCTGGGGGCAGGATAGCAAGTCTAATCTAGACTTGTAAATCAAAGATAATCTATTTTATCACATAATAACATGCATTATATGTGGTGGTATGCGGCACACATATCTAAATGCATACAGAGCACTTTAGATATAATTAATGATCAAAATGATAAGTATCACAACACATTTGTAACAATTTGGTTCTTATCTTATTTTAGCCCAAAGTGCATATTCTGTTAATAAAACAACCGGAACCAAATAAAAAAAAAATACTGAAGGTAAAATGATTTCAGATAATGCTGCTTTTAGACATACTGCATATATGTTTGATCATACCACACTCAGAAGGTAAATCCTTCTTTGTCCTTTACAAACAACATATACCCAGACACGGAAGAAGAAGCAACAAATTAATTCAAAATCACATTTTGTTGACATGTACTGTAAACATGTGTATAACAAAAGGAAACCCTCTTCAGACCAATTAAATGAACAGAATTTAACAAGTAGGCCGGTGTTTTTCTTTTGGCAGATGGTATAAAAGTCTGGATCCAGACAGCAGTTTTAAATGCAAAAGAATTTTTTCTAGAGGTTAATTCAGCAGCCTGGACAGTGGGAGTGTTAACTATGAGGCTGATTAACCCACAATGTTCACAGCTGATAATAAATAGAAAAGTTGTGGAATGTATGATGGAACACATATTAGGGCTGCAGAAGGTATCGGCTGCAAAGGCGATGATCATCCTCTTAGATAAATAAGAGCTAAACAACAAATTTAGTGTTTTTCTTGCTGTTGATTCAAACCACCTACATTATACATTAAGCTATAGTCCTTGCCATTTATTAATGAATGATTTCACTCTGACTGAGTCCTTGACAAGCCCTTTACATGTTGCCAGATCTGCCATGACATTTTACATAAGAAAACACTTCATGAGCACTATAATGCATGTTGAGCATAATAAAGCCACTGCCATCACATAATGATTCCCACTTTGGGTTTACATAAGTCCACAGGAGCAAACACATCTCCAGATTCCATACAGACACTGAAAGCATAAAAAGGAAAGCAAACTGATCAGTAATTACTCTACGTGACGTGAAGTAGGAGAGGAGGTGTTGGAGAGGAGCTGGGGGGGGCAAAAACCAGTTCAGTGCTGATGAACATTTGAGCATTTTTACATGCCTGAAGGAATTCCATTAACCATTCTGATTAAAGTAATCATTGGAGTCATCGGTGCCTGTCAGATGCCATCCCTGCCCTCTCAATTACCCAGATCTCCTTGAACTCAATTGCTCACATCATCATGGAGACTGGGTGGCAAGCAGGCAGAGAGGCTGTGCCGGGGACCAGGAATCACCAACGGGGGTTAGGTGGAGCACCACATGAGCATATGGGAAATGTCCACCCCTTCGATTTGTCACTGTACACAGAAGGACAGCCTCATGTTATCATGTTGTTGCCTGTTTGGGTTACGCAAACCAAAGAGAGTGCACAAGTTAAAAAATACTTGCAAGAAACTCACATCTGCATTTGTAATATAGCAGATAGGTATCAGCTCAGTCGCTGAATTAATTAACAATCACTTTATTATTGAAGCATCTGCTGGTTATTGTCTTCACGAATCACTGATTTTGTTTACTTTGTGTCATCTGAATCCCAAAGATAATCAGTTTAATTCTAGCTTTACCTTAAAAGAGAAAAAAAATTGACAAAAATAAAATAAATGAACAACTTTTAGTAAAATATTCATTTTTACAAAAGAGTACATAAAACAGCTTCTCAAACCATTCTCAGCGTTAAACACTGCATGTACAAGGCTGAATTATTTACTTGGAAAAGCAAACAACTGTCCAGGAAACCAGACTCTTAGTGGCCCCAGTGACCCCAGAGTCACAGTTTTACAGGTCCTTTGTTGTAATTTTATTAACAAAAATTGTTTGGTAATGTGCATCACCAAAGCACAGTGTAAACTGAAAGGATTAGGGCCATAAGGGGGCTCTTCTGTTTATATCTAATTTTGAGGCTCCATCTTGTGCAGGGTCTGTAAAAGTCTAAGTGATTACCTTCATTATTTTGGTTTACATTACCACAACATACTGCATATTACTAAATAGATTTATCATTTATTGAATTACCACAAACTAAATGAGCAGTTAATATCCCACTGGTGCCTGATCTGTGCTTAAAGGCAACAGGATGCATACACAGTACACTGAAAGTGGGAGGAACAGGAGGTAAACGGGGGGGCTCCTACTTTATTTTAGCCCTGAGGCACCATAGCGGTTTAAAGCGGCCCTGTGTATGTCTAGCATCAAGCTGATTTTATTTACCATAAACACAAAAATCTGCCAACACCATCTGATAAGTTAAGAAATACAATTTATAGCAAAATTCTGCTATCAAATCTAAAAACTGTTTAATTAGACTGGTATTTTCAGTTCACTGTTAGAAAATAATTGCCTCCAAGTTAAACTCAGTGTACTGAAAATAACCGAGTGATGAGCCAACACTTCATGCAGCTTGGAAGGGTTTCATGCGCTGTACCATTCCACATTGATTAACTCTCAAATGGTGCGAAAGCAAAAACTGTACGAGAATATTGGATCGTAGACAGTCCATCACTGTCTCTCCTGACTCTTTATCTAAAAGTAGTCAAATAGTCTTTTCTGAGCTTGGAGCTGAGAACAAACTTTGACAATATCTTCTTAACTTTCCTTGCTGTATGTAAAGCAAAGAGTGAGGCTTCTGTGACAGCTACATCTGCACCTACACCACGCCTTGCATTGCATCAGCCCCACATCAGATTCCACACAATAGATTTAACCATAATTCAGGCAGGCTCTTGAATCGCATGAGGCAACACACTCTGAAATATTTCACCTCAGAACTTCCCTCCTTTCTCGAATACAGATGTTGACCACTGCAGAAGTCTCACTGTTTGCTTTCTGATGGGTTGTTCTTTCATAATTTCAACTGCTGACTGCATTTTTTTAGCATAGTATAAGATATAAATGTAATAATCCAAGAAGCCATAATGGACTCTTTGTCCTTTCTCGATGCTTCCAGTCCAAACTTAAAGAGCCCACTGGATGACTAAAAGCATTATTTCAGCTGGCAAGAGTCTACCCCTCTCCCTCCCTGCACATACGCACTCTTACACACAATATAGCCTCCTGCACTGGTATGCTTCACGCACACATTACTCTGGGACAGGTTGCTGGGTCATAACAGTGATAAACCTCCATGTGGGGAGTCTGAGTAGGAGCGATGTATAGTACAGTAATAAGTCCATACATGATTCAGCGATTATGCAATTGTGCTGAAGCTGTTTATTTTTTTCCTCTTGAGTGCTATGAACTTAGCCAAATTATCCTGAAAAATATAATATATTTTGGGTATGGATTCAAACAGCAGATTGCCATCTGTCCCACATTTTAAATAACTTGTCATTACATTGATCAGGTCAGTTTAGGATGATTTCTTGTTGCACCTCTATGATTTTTTTAATATTATTTTAGTTTTATTGGCATCAGAAAAAAAAATCACATCAAAAACTATCAACACTCTGTCATACCATTGGTCACCAATGCTGTGTGGCTGCATACACTTCCTGGCTATGATTCACATCCCCTGCTACATGTATGACACATCAACAGTTACACTCAGTTCCAAAACTCCTCATCTTCCAAATGGTGCCTTCTGTCCTCATTCTAGGCTTCTATGAAAAGATCCAACAAAAGAAACCCCTGAGCAGGCCAGTTTCATTTTCCATTTTGTGCCACTGAGAAAAGGCATCTCACTGAAATTAAGAAAAAATTACTGAGAGCTACAGTTATACAGCAGGACTTTGCTGACATAGGACAGCCCGGAGTATATTTTGTAGTACTGAGTACAAACTCATTCAAATTGTAATCCACATGAGTCCATCTGAATAAAAATTAAAGGGCTGTATTGAGGTGTCTGTCACGGCCAGAGTTTTGTGCCTACTCTCCAGACAGATCCTTGCCTGTCTTCGTTAGGGAACATTGAATTCCTAAATGGTGATGAAGACTGCGCACTGAAAATGGTGGCACACTGCATCCTTTGCATTTTTATAGACCTACTTTGCATATTGGATTTAAGTGGGTCAAGTGAAAGAGTAAGTGAACAAAAATCAACACAAGTGCTTAAAAGATTCAACAACCAAGAAGCTTTTTCAACATATTTTCTTAATATCTTTTTAAAACAAGGAAATATATCTATGAGACGTTCATACATGAAGCAAACCAATTTCAAAAGATCAAGTTAGAAATGGTTGTGACAACAAATTCCAACAGTTGTACGTCTTAATCAGTGTCAACATTTAGACCCATTAACGTTGTCAGAATTCTAAAATGGCATTTAGTTTCAAGTCAGCTCCAATGATGTTCATATACAGCAGATGACCACCTCATTGCTTGCTAGGCAACAATGTGGATACTGTTGTCATGCTATAATTGCAAAGGGACAGCCACAGATAATGCTCATTGACTGAAACCTATTGATTCCAATCCTCACTAAGATAACAGATATCCCTTTGAGTCAAGCATATATACTATATCTTTATCTGTTTTGGTTTATGTCAGTCCATAGCATAGCCAATTCTGATCAGCCAACTGTCATTTGATAACAAAATAAAATAACTTTTATCCCTGAACACTCTTTTCAAGCTTTTCATTCCTATAGTTCACCATGTTTTGATTTAATTCACTAAATATAAACCCAAATGGCTTCCTTCGTATCATCACCAACAGCCTTAGTTTCCTTATAAGCACATTATATCAACCTGACATCAGGTTGTTTTTTTTTTATTTTGATGACAATAACATAGTTTGGTCACTATAGTGCAAAGCAATCAAGACAAATAAAAATGATAAGGGATAGAGAATCTGCGAATGCTTGTATAAAAATAGGTGTTACATTGATTAAAATATCAGTATTATACAACATAATACTTAAAATCTCATTTATGAATTTTGTTTTTGATAACATTAATTCTACATATAAAGAATGAATACCCATATTCATTTTTAATATAATAATCTCCTTTATGAGAGCTCACTGAAGGCTAACTGGCCTTCCATTTCCAAAAAAGTGCAGAAAGCATACAAAGACACTTTTTTCATCTTCTTCAAATGACGCAGTCTTTTTTGAACATTGGGGTGTGCCACTTTCAAAAAAAAAAAGAAGCCACTTTTACAACGCAGAGCTACAGTAAATGAAACTACAAACATAAGCCTTTCCAGAGGATCATGAAGTATGATGACACAGGTAATATTGATGTAGAATCAAAAGTTTTGAAAAGACATGGCAGATTATATCAATAAATACTTACTTACAGACTACAGCAGAAAATAGTCCTACACAGTTTTGATGATCTGCTGTACAGTGTTTTTGTCTGGGAATGATTTTATAAACATTTCTTTTCTGATTCACAATATACCTTATGCATGGTTATATTCCTGAAAATGAAGTTGGGTAAGATTTACCTATACACTTACATTTTGTGTGTTACTCCATCTTCAGTATAGAAAAATAGATTTTGCATCATCAGTTAAGTAGAGCCATTCTGTTCTTCCATGTTTCAGAAAGCTGTATCCATTCCTGTAATGTCATGTTTCAGAAATAAGAATAAGATTGTTCGGCACACCCCGTTTTAACTCCTTCGCGTTCGCGTGTTTGTATTGTGCCAAGGCACCCTATAAACTGAGTCACTGTTTCAAGCAGGAGGGTCAAGAGAGAAATTGCTTCATTACAGTAATGATTATGTTGCTCAGAACTGGCTAAAGGTGGTCTGTTTCTCAAGAACTTCGAGGTAATCAGGCTCAGACTGCAGTTTAGCTTTTAGTTCCAAATATTCATTTCTGTTGGGCTCAACATAAACAGTACTGGGTGCTGTGCCATAGAGCACTGTTTCTCTTATCCTCTCTGGGTGCAAGAACTGACGTCTGACATCAAAATTTGGGTTGTATGTGTATGAAACAGGCCCTGTATACTTGTACTCTAAATTGGCACCTGCGGGGATGGCTGGGATGGACTGATGTGGGGACTGCTTATCAGGCTCAAGGATGCCTCTGAAGAAATGATCTGCGTCCTGCACAGGGGAAGGGTTTTCACGTGGCTCGATGGTGCTAACGCTGTACGCTGGGCTCCTCATCGTACTGCTATCCCTCTCCTCACCCGGGGTGCTCCTGTATGTGACCTTGAGCTCATGGAGGTCACGGTAATCCTCCACTGTGTTTCCTTCTCGTGACCTGTAAATGGGGTTTTTGCACATATGACCCATAGGGTGTGGAATGTACTCATAGACGTGTCCGGCTGGGGCCTTCACTTTAGGCCCAGAGCGGTTGCTGTACAGGCTGTACTGCAAGTTAAAAGAGCTAACGTCTGAATTGTTGGTGCTAGTGCGGTCACTCTGTGACTTTTTACGCTTTTTCATCACTACAACAAACAGCCCTGCGGCCACAAAGACGGACATGATGAAAACAAGCAGGAGGCTGAGGATGAGGACAGAGAGAGGGACAGTGCTGCTGGGGGTGTTTAACTTCTGTGGAGCCTCTGTGGTGACAACCCGATCATCCATGGGCTCGTCTGTGGGGGGAGTTGGTGAGACATAGGCATCAGAGTAGTCTGGGCAAAGCTGCTCTGACTGGATGGTGCGCAGGTCCATCCCTGTGTGGCGTTTAGGTGTCTCACACACAACCTCGTTAACCACAGTGCCTGCACTGAGCTGCTCCAGCCATATCTTCATCCCCACTATGTCGCAGGAGCAGTCCCAGGGGTTTTCAAACAGATCGATCTGCACCAACAGCTTCAGCTGATCTAAAACACCACTCACAGGCAGATTTTGGAAATGGTTATTGCGCAGATTAAGCCTAGACAGAGAAAGGCTGGAAAAGATGCCCACAGGTAAAGTTTTAAGGAGGTTATTGTTAAGGAAAAGCAGCTGGAGATTAGGGAGATAGCGGAAAGTGCCCGCATCAACCTCCTTAATTTTGTTGTACTCTAAATAAAGATACTGCAAGTTCTGCAAACCAAAAAACATTTCTCCTGAAAGCCTGTCCATGAGATTACCATTTAAATACAGCCTACGTAAATTGGTTAAATCCCCAAAAGCCCGATCATGGATCAAAGTTATCCTGTTGTTTCCCAGATGAAGCAAATCCAATCCAGTGGCATCAACAAAATCTGATCTCCGTACCACAGGGATGTAATTTCCAGTGAGATACATTTTTTTAGGATTGTATGGCTTGGGTTTTAGATCAGAAATGCTCTCAATCTTTCTCTCTTGGCAGTTGACATTCAGCCCAATTTCAGATATCTGCAGATTACATGTGCAGGCAGTGGGGCAGTCCAAAGGCACAGGAGATTTGGTCTGAAAAGCGATGATGGGGCCATAGTTGTAAGGGTTACCACCTGGTATACGAGAAGTGGGCTTTAACCTAGTTCTGTTAAACTGCCGTGTGCCCTTGGTAGGCCGAGAAGAGGACCTAAGAACAGCTGAGGAGGTGGCAGAGGCTGTGACAGCTGCAGGTGTAGTCTGGTAGTATCCATTGGTGCTGCTAGGGGGTGCAGGCCTGATTGTGTCTTCTAGGGGTCTTCTTGGACAGAGTTCTTGTTTGGACACCTCATCCAGATCCCTACCGTGGAGCCTAAACGGTGTCTCACACACCACTTCTCCCACCAGAGCTGTATATGCTATACTCTCCAGCCAAGCCTTCAAAGCAATGAGCTCACAGGAACAATTCCACGGATTCTCCTCCAGTTGTAGTTCCACAACTTTATCCATGTGCTCCAGGAGGCCGATGTAGGGGAACATTTTTAACCGATTCCCCCTCAGGTCCAAGTGTGTAAGGGGCACATTCCGGAAGATATTTGGAGGCAGGGCAGAAAGTAAGTTGTCGTTCAGTATCATCACTGTTAGCTGGTGCAGTTTGCTCAGTGCATTTGGCTCTATATTGGTGATATAATTATAATCAATCTGTAGGTATTCCAAACTCTCCAGTCCTGCAAAGGTGTCATCCCTCAGAACCTCAATCTTGTTGTTATTCAGGTGTAACCTTTTTAATCCCTGGAGTCCGTTGAAGGCACCTGACTCTATCTCTGAGATATCATTGTTTCCCAAGTGCAGGATGTTCACCCCGGTGTAATTGATGAAATCATTGAGTGACAGCCTCTTCAGGAGGTTCCCTGTCAGCAGGAGGTGGTACACGGGGAAATGGACCGGGCTGAGCTCTGTCATTCTGATGATCCCCCGGTTCTCGCAGCTCACCATCAGGATCCCTTCCTTCTCCTCACATGTACACAGGTTTCGACAGATCTCCCCATAATTGTCATACATCTCTACCAGCCTCAGAGATGATGCAATCAGAAGGATTATTTTTAGGACCCAGATATGCATTTTTCCTGGGAGAGGATGCCCCAGCTCACTCAAGTGCAGTATCAGTATGAGGTGTCATCTAAAGAGGAAAAGAAAAGGATTGGGTCTGTTTTATATAGCATGGAAATTATATATGTGAAAACGTGCAGTATTTACATATTGCATATATAGCAATAGACTTCTAAAATAAACGAACCTATTAAGAACAAATAAAGACAAACACATCAGTCAAAGACAAGTAGGCTTATTAAAGATGGGTTATGTCGGCATCATTTTGGTTCTTAGGGGTGTCAGAGGACAAACGACTTAGATGAACCTTTAATAAATGCATATGATAATATATAATCAAGTTGATAACACAACTACCTGCGGTGCATGGCCACTGCGCATTTCTGATAGCTCGCCTGAATTCCAATTCATCTTGGGAGGGAAAAAGCCTTCGCCATCGTCTGCAGACTGATAGATGTGGTCATTTACTAATTCAATCCCTTGAGAATTTCCACAGAAAGGCCCCCTCTCAAACGATTTCTTTGTGGGATAAATGATGATGCATCTTCCTTTTTTACAATTTAATCTCTTCGCCCAAACTAACAAAATCGCTAAGATGAACTCCTATCTCCTTCCCATAAAGACTACTCACTCTCCCCGCATACCCGACGACTTGGTAACAGTGAGGAAACTGTCGGAGCCCGTCTCTCCACCTCCGTCCAAACAACATGGGCAAAGAGAATTTATCCGCCTGCTGAGTAAAACGACCCTGGGTAAAAACATTAAGGGGAAAAAAAATACAGCTCCCATAAAAGATCCGGCTGCGAGAAGCAGTCAATGTTCATCTTAAAACCCGGCCTGCCATAGAAAATGTGAATATCTTCCTACAACGCGACATTTGCAGCCCTTCTTCTGCCCACGGGCGAAAAAAGGAACGAGAGGAGTTGATCAAAGACAAATGAGCAAAAGTGGTTTATCTCACAGCGGATCTCTGATCGACATTGCATTTTAACAGGAAGTAAATAATGCTATAATTAAGTATTCTGTGTGGTATGTGCTACAGAGAAGGATATCTCTCTCTCCTTCTCTTTTGCCACGTACACGCGAGCGAGCGCGTGCGCACACACATTCACAGATGTTTGGTCTGTGTGCGCTCCTTAAAAGAACACAAAAGCCTACACATCGACCCAGTAACTCTTCCCAAATATGCGCATTTTAACATGAGTACTGTGCGTGTGAGAGGTGCGCCCACTTTCATCTCGCTCCCCCTTTTCTTATACTTAAGTTTCTTACAATAAGCTCTAGAAATGCCCATCGCTTCTAGATATAACATAGGCTAGAGAACTTGAAAGGCCAGTGCCTCCATCTATTCCTGTGCACAGGCACTAGGTTATTATTTGGAACAATCAAACTGTAATGACAGCCTATATGCGAGCATAAAAATGCAGGCTGTGCTTGCTGTTGCCAGAGCAGACGCAGACACCCTGCTTAACAGCATCTTAAAGCTGGATCAACTTCAGCAATGCAACTGGGGAGAGAGCCAGCGATCTCAGCACCATGGACAGCACAATGGACCATGGACAGCGCATGATGTTAGAGCATAAAACGCCCCCGCGCAGATGAGCAATAGTGAGGAAAATCAATGTCCTCTTACCGTGCTGATCCCGGTAAACGCCAAAGCATCCCGACAATCACGGCTGTGCCCCTTCTTTTTTCTCCAACCTCAGTGAAAACATGGATTTCGTGATTTCACCGTCCGCCCTTCCGTCGACTGTGAAAAAAATCCTTCAAGTCAAGTCTCCTCGGTGTTTAGCTCCATAAACCAGGCATCGAGGAGCACATATGTAGTGTCATTCAAGCCAGTAACGTGAGAGCCAGCGCGGAAAAACGTGTTCCGATAATGTTCCAGAAGCCACTGAAATGAGCAGTGTCATCTCGAAAAAGGAGCCAAAACCAAAGTTCGAACATGGCAAAGATAAGGGGGCGCATAAAAACGCGGTAATCCACATCAGACAAGACTTGCTGCATGTATTTCAACAGTGACTTTCATCCATGCGCACTGACGAAGCGGAGGCGAGAGGCACGAATCCCCTCGTCTGCCAGTGGTGCGGCTTATACCAGTTTATGTACAGATGCCAAGGTCTCTTTATTTCAGTTGCTAGACCGTCAAAATCCACCCGAGATCAATGGATATGTTCATCCAGGTTTCGCCTTGGATGCAAGAATCCGGTCTCCGTTCGCCAGTCCTGCACTGGTTATATATACACACACATATATATATATGCAAGATTTATCCTTCCCACCAACGTTTCAACTAGTGGAACTTGGTCTTGGTTGGTGTAAATGATGTACGTATTATGAAACAATTACACTGCTATGACAGCCGAAATCACTGGTAAAAATGCACGAATCCCCCCAATCTCGGGACTGTCACAGCGCGGAAGTGAAAAGCAATTGAATGCGTGCAATACTCTTTAAGGGGGTAGGGTAATGTGGAGGTGGTGGGGTGGAAAGGAGGGCTGGAGGAGGGCGTGATGTGGGGTGGGAGTGGGGGGAAGGGAAGAGGGAGACTAAGAAGACCCGTAGAGGGCAGCACAATGATGAAATAAGCATCTTGGCAGGCTTGCATTTTCAGAATGCACTTTTGTTAGTCAGTGTATTTTAATTCAGCAGCAAAAACTATTGGATTTGTCACTGACAGCTTTAGGTATTTTCGGCATAGCTGGGTCATCTTATCCCCATACACTTCAAAACCACAACTGGACATGTCTTTTTTTTAATTATTATCATAATAAGTCCATAACACTTTGAATTCTTCTCAGTGAGACTTAAATTTCCTTGGTGAAATGTGAGAAGCTACTGGCCTGATACTCATCCTGGATTCATCATGTCTCTTTATTGTTCAGTCTGGAAAGCTATTTCCTTGACAAACCTGAAATTCAAGGCACTGCTAGAAAACATTTACTTATTAGCAGCACATTGTTCACATCCCCTCTGTCAGTGAGGTGATCCTGGTCACTGAACAATCTAAATACCTGCTTTAACAGTATGAAATGCATATTGACAAGCTATTTTTTATTACACAACATTGAACCTATTTTAAAGTGAAAAAAAGGTGATGTACATATGGATTTGTATCCCTCCTATCTCTTTATGGATGCTTCCCTTCTAAATACACATTAAGCCTATAGTCAGAGAAAACAGACGTTTACAAGAGATCTGCACTGGAAGAGATTAATGTACTGTAGGATTAGGCTTAATCCAGTTTTGCACCAAATACTCTAGCATAGTAATGCTGCCATGTTGCTTTAAGCTCATTGAATTTTACCAAATCATGACTTATTTGCCCCTTGTTGAAAGAGCAAATCAAGTTAAAGCCACAGCTGCCCCATTACCCTGTTACTGTGAGAAAAGAAACTTTCGAAGCAGTTAACTAAAGCCTGAATAGAAAATACAATTAAATCTAGTATATAGTGGGCTGGCATGTCCAGAGAGGTTTCCCACTTAGTCAGTATTGTGTGGTAAGAAGTTGACTCTTGTGCTCTCTTTAGCATGTGGGGAGCATCATGAAACTGATGTAGCATCATATTGCCTTTCTGAAAATTAGCCGTGGAGATGCACTGAATTATCCTAAAGTTCTGTAATAGTATTAACAGTGGTGAATCCTGTGGGGATGGACAAATCAGTATGGAACCCCAGATGGAATATAGCAATGGGGAAGCTATTGCAGCAGGGTGTTTGCTCCCTCCCTCTAGAAGGAACTGTGACTGGCTCCCCCGAGAGGCATTGTGGCATCAAAGAGAGGAGAGTAGCTGTCCTGAATCATTTTTTGCTTTAAATGACTTTGTGTAGTGCTGATGGGGGAGGTAGATACCCTTGATAAAGTAGCACCTGGGTGACAGTGGTGTGTGTTTGTGCAAGTTTTATAGCTATAACTTTGTTCTATCAAAGTTGGTGTGTGTCTGAGAACGACCATGAATTTCTCCATGGCAAAGGCTAATGGGTTCATACAAGCACAAAAGCTATTAACATAGATCAGCTGCATAAACCACATAGTATTATAATCAGGTCTGGGACAAATGTTTAAGTAATTAAATGCAAATGAAAGTTCATGCAGTGGTGACATTAACATGCATCTGTTGCATAAACTCAATTTTTAAGTATGTTATTAAAGATGTTTTTTCTTATAAGCTCATCACCATTAGCATATAGCCATTAGACAAGCATACTGTACCTAAGCTAGGGTCTATAACTATATTCAAGTTTTTATATTATAGCTTCATTTCATGTTTAATTTGGCGTATGTTTGCCTGCATACTGGCACAGTTTGGTACTGCTGGCACAGCAGCCACTGGTGTGACTGTGCCAGACAAGCATTATGAATCAGAACAAAGGTTTAGTCTAGGTGCTGTAGTGAGAATGAGCTCCATCTCACATGCAGTGATATGTTTTTCAGGAATCAAGAATGAACATTTTGTTCTCCTTTGACACCAAAAAGTCGAATGTGCTCTGAAAAGAATAAGTCAAACTTCTTCAAAGCAGGGTAGAACATCATCTTAAACTTTTAACACTTCAATCTTAATATGTGGATGTGAAATTAGTTGTGAGAGCATTCTTATCCAAGTTGGAAGTTTTGGACTCAGTTGTCTGTGATATCAAAGAAAAAGCCTTCTGGTAGACAGGCTATGAGCCAAAAGGCTATGGGCAAAGGAAATAATGAAGTGTGTCTAAAATAAAACATCTCAGTGGGGATGTACAATAGAACTCCAGACCATTTTGTTATTGGACAATGATAAATTTAGAAGTATTCTTCCAGAAATTACATTTCCTTTTACAGTTCTGCTTGATGAATCAAGTTCAGTGAGTGTTCAAGTGCACTGACTCATGCTTGTGGAAGATGTACATGATAAACATTCCCCCAGTATAATGTAATAACATACTGTACATACTCTGATGACAGCTATTTCACTTAGTATTGTTTATAAATCCTACTGTTTTGACTTATCATGCAGGAGGTGTGCTGAAAATTCTGCCTTCATAAAAGGCTAATTCTTCTGTTAGCAGAGAGCCTGACATGTATTGTATTATGATCAACTCGAGAGGTCTCATCTGGGCCAACTGATGCTGCTTGCAATTTCTGTTCTAACCCAGCAGGTCTACAATAGGTGTTCGGGGCCAAGATCCATTCAAAATGCTGATAATATGAAATTAGAAACCCATTTAAGTTTGACAGTACAATCCAGCTGGCACATCTTGCAACAAGATGCACTGAAGAATTACAACACATTTCTCAGGGAGAAATTGCTTTAATAATAAACACTGACTAAACCCTGGAAGCCCTATTTTGTCATGTAATGGAATGAAGGCTAATGAAACAACCAAGGATGGATCGGATGGGGAAGTGAAATTGTCCTATTGCTCTGTGCCGGTATCACTCCAATCATGCCACTAAATTGATTCAGTTCTTGCATTTTCACATTTAATGCAGCTATTAAAAAAGCTAATACAATAAACCTTTATTGTTGTATTTAATTGGACAGAAAGTGTAAACAAACAGATACAGTAAATATTAACCATAATAATCTTTGACAAACAAGTTTGTCTGGGATAAATTGAAGATAAATAGAATATCTTCTGTAGCATTATCATCAACATTCAACATCTGTGAATAAAGTGAAGCGCATCACCATGAGAAATTCGACTTTCTCCAGTAAAACAGAAACAAAAAATTCTTTAAGAAAATACAGGCCTGGAAAATGCTGCAAAAGTGACACACAGCTACAGAAAGACAGCATGCTGGCCATTGTATGTGACTTTAGTGTTCTGCATCAGCCTCATCCTGACACTTGAATTGCTTTAGTCATGATGCTACCTGTGGATGGTCTGTAATGAAAAGCACCGGGGCTAAAACCTGTGCATTCATCACAGCTCCAGATGATGTAGAGCTCTGGTGCGAGTTCCCACCAAAGAGCAAGAGCACAGCTGCTCCGACAGCCATGATTGATGGTCAAAGCAGAATGAGGGGTTGCACAGGGAGCCCTTCCTTTGTTTTTCCCCAGGACTTGGCTCAAGCTGGTGTGAGCTAGGTAATTTAAAAATGTTGAATTGGTAACATGCAAACTTAACCAGGGGCTTTAAAAGAACGATCTGCTGACAATGCGATAAGGGCATCCTCACTGTATCAGGGAGCGGATGGGATTGACTTATTACCTCTCTGTGCCTTGGAGCAAAGCACTGAACCATAACCCTAACAGAACAGAAGTCCATTCATTTGACTGTAGTCAGCAAGTGCGATGGCTTTTTAAGATTATGAGAGCACTTCAGGGCTTGATGCACAGGCAACAAGATGCGCCTTTGTGTGGTTAACTAACCAACCTGTCAGTTAATTGTTCTGTCAAGAAATCAATCATTCACAAGCTAAAAGTCAGTGCTTTATTTAGGACTTCCCACTTACCAAATACACTACAGCCACTTTAAAACACCTGTTGTTCAGTACCCTAAAAACACACACAAAAAACTTTGTAACATTAGAAGTTGTTGCTATGACAGACAAGGCAAGACACCACTGTGTCACCATGGATAGGATAATCTATAAACAGAGTCAGAGCAAAGCAAGGACATCATTCCATGCAGCGAAAAGGTTCTCTAGAAAGCCGAGAAAGAAATTTAACAATGAAATTCTAATGTTGGCAGAACATACTGTATTTTCTGGCTGTGGCTCCATAGGGGTTCCAAGTCTAACTGTACATAAATGCCCAGAGAGCTGGGAGGCAGATTTTTTTCCTAACTGCTGCTGTAATATTGATGAAAAGCCAATCTCCAACACATCTGTTATTTAAACATGTTAGCCTGCCCTGTTTAAATCTTTCCAGATACATTCTTTTAATTTTCACGCACAGGCCACTAAGGAAGGTGATCAGAGAAGTAGCTTTTATCCAAGGAAAATAATAAATTCTTCAAAGATAAATGGGCAACCATTACAGTGGCAGTGACCTTCTCGTCTAACTCAAACTACTGTATTCCAGAAACCAGGAAATGCCTCACAGAAATAAAAGAAAACTCCCCCCCCACCCCATTTATTGAAACATGCACTGACTGGTGTCAGGGTCGGCACGTGAAGCTGCCGATAATGTCGTGGTGAACTCAATTAAATTGCCAGACGAGGATACGTAAAACAAAACTGTGTCTTTAATAAGAGCACAGACACTGAACCACAACGAAACAAGACACGGTGTAAACACAAAACGCATTTACAGGTCAATTTACACAGTCCAGGGTCAGAGCCACCGAACACATACATCCAAGGAATCCAAAGTTGTTTGCCCAAAAGGGAAGTCTGATAGTTCATACACAGTAGGCAGTCCGAAACAAGAGGGCAAGGCAGAATAGAACGGTCAAAGTACACAATCCGGGTCACAACAGGAAA